GTTAATCTTATTGGTAATCCAATTTCCACAAATTTTGTTTAGGCGACTTTCAGAAATGACGATCAGACCCGCGGCTTCTTCGTGTGTACGCTTTGTACCATGAGATAACACTGATTGCATTGTTAATGAAGGCGTAAATTAGCATCACGTCTACTCTACCTTGTTCACAAAGCCGTTACCTGTCTGCGTTGTAGTTGTTGTTGCTGCCGTGAGGACTAGCTGCAGCGCCTCCACCTGCTTCAAACGATCCTCCTTCGCCTTCTCCAGTCTCTCCTCCTTCTTCTCCAGTCTCTCCTTCTCCTCCTTCCATTCGGTTCGCTGCGCCGAAGTTCCTTCCTCATTCCACAACTTATTCTCCAACGTCGTCAGTCTCCGTCCATATCTCCCATCCTTAAACTTCTCCAACTCGCCCTTCACCTCCTGTATAGCTCCTCCTTCGCCTCCTGTAGCTCCTTCTCTGCCTCCGCCAACGCATGTTTAACGTTTATCATTTTTTTTGTTCGATGGGAAGATTAAGACGTGCTGCGCGATGTAATATGATATGCGAACGCTGATCAGTGGCTTAGTCTAATGACGTATTATTAGGAACTTTCTAGACCTTTTCACAATGTAACCCCTGTATGCAGAATGTGGCCAATGATAATTAATGCGCAGAAATTTGTAATTAGTGACAAATAGTCGAATCGTATACAATAAAACAACTTACATTTCGAACAAACACATCCAAAGCCATGATGAGTATCCCTATTCTTTGGTCGCTCTGGTGAAACCCTATTTTATGTATCATTATTATTGCTATTAACATCTTCATTCTCTGTTTCTTTGTTCTTATCAATCCATTCTTGGATGGCTTCTAGTGTTCTCCTCCTCGGGTTCGTTTTTTCGTTGGTAGAAACTTTTTAAAGTTGAGGCGGCAATACCTTTTTCTCCGCGTAACTCGCGGATTTGAGTGGCCACTTGGTTAAACGAAAAGTCAGAGTCCAGCTCAGATTTCATATCGAATAAAGTTTTAAACTCTTTCCACAAACGAATAATGTAGCTCACTGAGCCGTCTAATAGATTTGGCTTTTACTTTGATTTTCTCTGATTCGACTGCTTGAATGACTTTTGATTTATATTGCAGAGTTGATTATATGTTTTATAGTAGGGCAAAGGACCAAAGACAAGTCCGATCAACAACCCACAAATGAATTCAACGGTGAAAGCAAGCATTTTTGAATAATTGGTTTTTGCCTTTTTTTACAAGATAATTGCTTACGATATTGATATGTCGGAAAGATTTGTGATTCGATTTTCTAAGACGAAAACAAGTGTGGAGTCGTGCTATTTTATAATAAACGCATCAGGTGCCGATCAGATTGCGTGTTCATTATTCTTAATGATTATAAATATGTTACGGATTCCGAAACAATTGATATTGAGTCGTCGATCAAACAGTCTATGATTAAACACATCATCGGTCTCCTAAAGTTTGGATCGACCGCCCTTCCAATAAATTCATTCGTGATTCATTTTATTATCGTTATTATCATTCTCTCTAATGCGGTAATTATTTGCTAATCATGAATTTATCAGATTTGTAGCACGAACCAAAATTCTCGTATTTATTTATAAAAAATTTGTTCCGATTATTAACAATAATAAAAGAGCAGCTATTTGCTTATGCTTCGACCTTTCGTTTCTTTCTTGGTTCATTATAAGTTGAGGTTATGGTTCGTTTAATGCTTTTTATTTTTCGTTCTTCTTGATAAATTTCATAAGTGATTTTTTTCTATATTCCTCAAGAATTTTAGTATCATTAATTTTAAAAATGTATGGAGCAATTTTTTCTCCTTGAGCTTTTTTAAAATACTTCTAATAGTGCTATAATTCTTTGGTTCCATGATAGATTTAATTTCATATTATGGATTGATGCAAAAAGATTTATACCTCAATATAATTACTTCTAATAAAAATCATTCAAATTTTAATCAATCTTTATAATTTTTTATATTAAATAAAAAATGATCTAA